TATGGGATGAAAGAGAAATATAAAGCTAGATTAATTGGAAAGGGATGCATTCAAATATATGGAATTGACTAAGACATTTGCTCCAGTAGCAAAGATGAATACAATTTCAGTTGTTATCGCTCTAACAACTCAATTAGTTTTGGTGTATACACACCATTTGGGTATGAAGAATGACTTTCTTCATGGAGCTTTAAAATAAGAAGTGGACATGATGACTCTTTCAAGATCTAAAACTCAGTGGAAGGATTAAAGTATGCCTCTTAAAGGTCTTATATAGTTTTAAGCAATCTCCAAGGGCATGATTTAGGATATTTAGAAGAAAATAAAAATTTCCTTAGGGTAAAAACAAGCCAATGAGTTCATACTTTATTCATAAAACACTATTATAGGTAAATTCACTATATTGTTGGTCTCCGTGAATGATATGATTATTTCAAGAGGATGAAACAAAGAAATGGGGTTAAAAGGAATAGTTGACAGGCCAATTTGAAATGAAATACCAGGGAAAATTCAAGTATTTCCTTGGAATAGAGGTTGCCTATCCCAACAAGAGATTTTCATCTCCAAAAGAAAAAATGTGTACTTGATCTCAATGATACAGATAAGTTGGGAAGTACACTTAAGGAGTTTCTATTGAACAGAATCATAAAATTAGAAGTTAATATAGCTCTCCTATAGAAAAGACCCAATATCAAAGATTCACAGGAAAACTCATTTATCTACCCCACAAAAGACCAGACAGTAATGCAGTTAGCGTGGTAAACCCATTTCTGCATGATCCAAGAATAAAACACATCCAAACAGTTGACAAAATTCTTTAGTACTTCCCGCAAGTGCAGGAAAGGGGCTCTATTGTTCAGGAAAGAAGACACTTGAATCTCAAAAGTATACACTGATGTAGACTACATAGGTTCTGTTACTAAGAAAATCAACTTCCGTATACTGTGTTGCTTCTTAGAGAAAGTCTGGTAACATGGAAAAATAAAAAAACATGACAGTATCTCATTTCCAATGCAAAAGCTGAATTTCGAGGCTCGTGTGTGAAGGACTCTGGATAAAAATTACACTAAATGACCTTAAAATAAAGATAGATAACAAGTCAACCATGAACATTACCTATAATCCAGTAAACATGATAAGACCAAACATATTGAAATTGACAAAGGTTCTTGTGGTTACAACAACCTATGTCCCTGACTTCAGATAGCAGACATTTCCACCAAGGGCTTCCTCAGGGTAGATTACAAAATCTTGTTAATTAAGTTGAAAATGATCTACAGTCTTTTCCAACTTGAGGAGGAGAGGATTAAATAGGGAATTATTAGGATAAGAATATCCCCATAGTGATTAGGAAAAAATATATTTAGAATTTTCTTATTCATTTTAACATTTATTTCCTTATTTTAAAGAGTTTAATTGTTTAAAAAATAAAGCTGATGATAATGTAATTGGTGTGATTGTTATCAATAAAATAATTTTTTATTTCCCTACTTAGTTCAAGTGTAATCTTTTTCTTCTTGAGGAAAGATAATTCAATAAACACATTTTATAGAAATTATTTTATTACATCTTTGGAAAGAAAGTAGACAAATTCATTAAAATAATTTCAGTCCATAAAGACAAATCATTTTCATCTGGAACGTAGTAAACATAAAAATACAAAGCCACACAACAAAAAGTGTCGAGTAGATAAAATGATTAGAATACTCACAGAATGCAGGCGCTTTTAAGAATGAACGAGCCAAGGGCAACACGTTGCTTCTCACCACCACTTAACTAATAAGACAAGCCACAAGTAAAAATTGAAGAGTTTTTCATTGTAGACTTTTATCATTGAAAAATATAACTAAGTACAATACCTCTAAATTATTTAACACTTTAATCTAAAAAAATGTCAGGTATGACTTTTTGTAGCAAAACATAATAGATATGCGGAAATTTAGCCACAACAAAGGGCCACATCTCTCTCACTTAAAGAACTTCTTTTCTAATTTCCTTACACAATGCATTCATGTACGTTTTAAAATTAATTGTCATGTACTTTTCTAAGTTAATAACATCGGATTTTCTCAATACATCTAGATTGTGGGTGTTTATTTCAGTGATATGAGATTTGCAATCCATAACCCTCCATACCCTGAACAAGTTATTACCCAGAAGAACAATACTGAGAAACGTATATTTTAAAAAAGAAGGAATTTCTATCACCTTGAGCCCTCGCTCTCCGACAACAGTTTGGTATTTATCAGGAAAATTCATGATAGTGTTATGAATTGCTGCTTGTTGAGCAGCTTCATAGACCTGTATCCATATAGTAATAAATAAAACTTGGAACCAAGCAGTGGAAATTTGCAAGTTGAAGAAGAAAGCAGAGATACAGCATTACAGTAAAAGTTACCTCCTCTTCTGTGCAGAAAGCGACCATAGTGAATGTTGTGAAATATAGTATCATTAAAAAGTACCTGTCCACAATAACATAGGTTTCCACAATTTGCAACATCTGGCAGGGGAAACATGCATGAGATTTTAGAGATAGGTGCTTTGTTCAACTTACAGTATCTTGTGGAACAACACCAATGGACTTCCGCAAACTCTCAAGGGTTACCTCCCGAATATCTTGATTATCTATCTTTATCTGTAAGGAACGAGAAAAAATGAGAAGGAGAGAAAAACAATGTCTAATTTAACGATAAAAGACAACAACAAACTTTATGTTAGTTACTAATTTGTGGCATAATTACAAAGATGGCAGATAAAAAAACTGCCATTGGGCTCTATCAAAAGCCTTAATTATATAGACAACCTGCTTGCAAGAAGTGATCAGTAGTACTCACTATTACTGGCTAGAAATTCATAAAAGAAACAGAAGTTCCAACCATAAAAATGGCAAAAGTCTGATGAATTCAAATTTCATGCATAAGTCCTATTAGATAGGTGCAACATCTGCATTCAGGTTATGCTGTTTTTTTAACATAAGCTCCATGCAAAGGGTCACTTATTTGTAAACTACAGCAAGCTAAACTTGGATTGATGTCTTTACGTATATGGAATATAAATCCATCCATCAGAACCAAAACATCTAGCTTTATTACTTGTCAAGTATCCATGGATAAGTAACTAACCAAATTAATAGTTCATTCATTATTGAAGCCTATACACACATCTTTAGAACTATATAGCACAGGTGTTAAAAATCATGCATCTTATGGTACAAATGGGAAAAGGACGAAACTGAATGTCACATATATCATGGCAATATAGCTTAAATTCACGAAAGTATAGATCAATTGATTCATATCTTACACTTCCAGAATTAGGATCAAAGAACCTGAATAGCAATCTAAGAATGGTTGATTTTCCTGTCCAGAATTATAAATTTGAAGCATGTCAGAAATGAACATGTATTATTATTAAAAAGCAGAGAATATTCAAAAGCCAGAAAACGCAACAAGCACCATATTTAAATTTGAACAGAGGCATTCCATGTTTTAGGAGTAGGTATACCAGATAAAAACTAAATAGTACTAAGCTTCAATATCATAGGAAACCCCATTATGAAGAGAAAATTCTGTTCAAATGAGGTTGGCTATAACCTCCTATATATGTTTATATTTTTTCATGTAACTGAGATTATAAATAGTCAGGGTTTTGGGAGGGAAAAAGGTTGTTGATTGTATTCTGGAAAGTAAGGGGTTGGAGGAGGGTGAGGACCTCTCGAAGCCCTTCAGTTGTTCGGTTCTTACTGTTTTCTACCACATTAGCATAGACAGTGCTGTTCTTAATAAAATCTATCAAGAATGTCTTGGAGTGTTCTATAATACTGGTTGTTCCTATCAATATATGACTCAGGTTCCATATCTTCAAATCATGTAAAACACATTTTGCTATCAAGCTTCCTCCCCAAAAAATTTAGAAAGATGGTATTTTCCATAGGACCATACAGACTTATGCTTGACAGCAATCCCAGATACAAGATTCAACTAGTCTGGGAAGGAAATGGCTACAAGCCATGAAGGCACCCTAAAAAGGTAGCAATTAGGGAAAATGGATCCAAAACTTGCCACGCAGATCAGCCCCTTCTAAATCCAATGGCCAGTTAATTCCAAAAAGAGTATACACCCAGTAATCTTGTTGGGAAAGGTATAGCATACATGGACTAAGTCCTAACCATACTTAATGCAGACGAGAAAATTATAATTATGTTGCAACCATACGCATATAAAGCATTTGATCCCTAAAAAATTCTATGATAAAAATTTAAAGTTTATAAATTTTAAAGTCCTCAGAAGTTTTATTTTTTAAGGAGTATGACTTGTCAAATTTCATCTTAAAATAAATTTACATCATGTGAACATATATTTATAAGCTGCATTCCAAGAATTGAAGTAGGTAATGTTGGACTTCTCAACAATCCCCCCCTCCATAGATGCACGCAGGAACAAGTGAGCCTATCACAATGAGCAATTCACCAAGATCTATTGGCTTTAATATGATAGATTTCATCTTAAAAACAATTGACACTAGGCGAAGTTGCCCAGCAACTATATAAGTTACACTCCAAGAATTGAGGTGGACAATGTGAGACTTCCCAACATGACTTAAGTGTTTTTGGACTAGAAAAGTACATAAAACGCACATACATATTGCATTGTGATTACTCAGAAATAGTTGAGTTATGTATGCAAGCTCCACATATGCTTAATATAAGTTGTCTTAATGTTTTTCTACATAAGCGTTCGCACCTTGAGGGGTTTCTCTTTAATAAAATCATCCACAACCGCTTTTCATAAAAAGAATTATAAGAATTGTGTTATATGCTATCTCTATTATAATCTTCGACAAAGTGTTTTGTAGAGCTAAAACCTTAAACTGCTTTCAAAAAACAGCCAAGTGATTCAACAATCATATATTTGTCTATCTTTTTGAATATTATGTTTGCATTTGTGAATTAGATGTAGCTATAAATTTTGTACAAGCCAATGAAAGAAGAAAGTTAGCTAATTGGCACGAATGCCAAAGTCGCTTGTTAAAATGTAATGTTATTTCATTATTATTTCTGTTGTTTGTACCCACCTCTAGGGTTAGGGTTTATGGTAAGTGCCTTGCCTTAGTTTGAAACTCCTATATATACATCAATAAAAAGCACAACAGTGTAGTTTGAATACACTGGTTTTCCTCCATCTGATTTATTCAAGTTAGCCAGATAAAAAGAAAAGGAACAAATGTGTCTTACAGTTATATGAAAGAGAAAGAACTTTTTCCCAAAAATTGTCATGTTGTTAGGCTAGACTCTCTTTCCTCAACCTTGTGTGGTTTGATATTTCATTTCTTTAATACATATAAAAGAGAAAGAACTTTTTCATAAAAATTGTCAAGTTTGCTGTTGGTGTTAGACTCTCTTTCATCAACATTGTGTGTTTGATATTTCATGCCTTTAATAAAGAAAAGAATGGGAAGAAGTTTATTCTACTATGATTATCTTGTCAAGCTTATATAAGAAGACTCCCAGATCAAAGGATTCCCGAAACTTCAATATGGAAGAAACAATTCGGAAAAACCTTCTCAGTCTGTTTTGTTTGCTTTCTTCAAATTCATTTTTTCATGTTTAGTTTCATTTTTGTCTTTGTCCGGTCGGATTATAAACAAGTGCTTGAAGGCAGCATTAACATCCATTTCGTGTGGAAAACCCTTCCTTGCAATTGATAGTACCACGAGAACATCATCCCTGTTTCTATTTGATCCCAAGAATTAACCAAAAAAAAGAACATTTATTGTACTAGTACTTGTATAGAACAACTATAGAAAGCAATGAACCTCAAGAGCTTGTTTGTTCATATAATCCTAGGATGGTTCACTGCACTGCATGTTCAAAGTGGTGCGACTAAAGTGAGCATGTGCCAAGAAAAAGCATTCCATCCAATTCCTTTGCCACCATTTGATAATAAACAAAGGAAATGTACAGAATTAGATAGAGTGGGAGATAAAGGTTCGTCATGCATATAATATAATTTGGATTAGGTTGAAAAATGTAAAGCTGTCTGTGTTGTGTAGTAGATTTCAGAATGGGAGTTTGGAGAACATTCTTTTGCTTTGCAGTGAAGGAAAAGTGTCAGTGTGTGTGCGTGTTCTTCAGACTATTCCAGAAAAAAAAAATTCTGGAACAGATTTTAAATGTTCGAGAAAGTTTATTCCACAATGATGAAAAATATTCTTTGGGAGTGTTTCAGAACAAGTAACCCCAAACAGTTAAAAATAAATTTCAGATTATTTATTCCGAAATAGGTAAGAATGCATTCCAGAATCCTCTAGAATATGTTTTGAAGCTTTTTTAATACATTCTGAATAGCATTTTCCAATATGTATAAGGATTTCCAAAAAGAATATCAATATTATCAAACATACATATATTGTTATATAACAAACAATATTTATGTAAAAATCCAAGAGCATCCTCCTACTAGAGCTGGCGAATCTGGTTGGCCAAGTGGAAACATTGTGTCGGTCTATGTCTTTCTTAATGGAGCCAAAAAAATAAATAATGAGGGTCATTTCCAAACTAAAAGAAAGTTAAAAAATGTAAATTCTAAATATAAAAAATATGCACTCCTAATCATTTATGTCACATAAATGATATTAATTTTAATTTTTAGATGTCGTAATATGATAATAAATTATAACAAAACACAAGTATATGTTATAATCAAATAATATTATTTTCAATTTTTTAAATTATAACTTTTATTGTAAAAAAAGACTGACCAACAAGCCAATGGGTCAAGCCGACCTAGACCCATTTGGACAGTAGGATAAATGAACCAGGTCGAAATTGGTCCTCTCAAATTTAGACTCTTATATTTCCAGCCGAACCAAACCCATTTAACCAGCTATTTGGCCTAGCCCATAAGGCCAAAACAATTTTACTGGCTCTGTCTACTACTGCTATAAACTATTGGCAACTATGATGTACTTTATGTTTTGTTTATGTACAAAGTTTTTATTATTAATGATTTATTAGTGCATGAATTTTTATCTATTTTCCCTTTTTGAACTTTTATAAATGTGTTGAATAATAGAATAGCGGTCATTCCACTATCAGCACACATCTATCCCACTTTAAGGATCATCCGCTTTGATCCACTCCACTATCCGGGATTGAATTCTGTGGTAATACCAGCTGCTAGTTTGGTAGCACTTCACATTGCAAAAAGTGAAACACTTTGTGATGTGAATTAGTGATGGAGAATGGCAGCAGATAGTTACCACTCGCAGACATTCTCAATTAATAAGTGAAAACATTTACAAAATAGTTGGTAAAAAGTAAAAATTGCAATAGGCAGCAAGAAAATTTTTCTAAGGACAGCTTCGCATGTAAAATAATTTAAGAAAATAAGAAACTATCATGCTGAACCTTACCACTTCCACTAGTCCCAACAATTGCAACACTTTTACCAGCTGGCACAACAAACGATATTCCATCTAGTATCTTTCTTTCTGTGAGGTAACTGGAGATAAAATGCATCAATATACATAAATCTGGCTTCTTAATTTTCTACTGCATCAATCTCTCTCTACTAATATTATCATATATATTAGCCGAAAGTCAATCTATATGAATGGTAAAACATCACGTAGTAAAGAGACAATCACGCACCTAAAATGTACATTCTCAAATTTGATACTCCCCCCATTATATCTAAGAGGCTGTGCATTTTCTTTATCCCTAACGTCTGCTCTTTCCTGTAATAATAATAATAATAATAATAATAATAATAACAACAACAATAATAATAATAATAGAAAAAGCAAATAAGCATTATCACAAAGTCAGAAAGGTGTAGATCTAGTAAGCATGATCACATAACTAAACATATCTTTGAATAAATGAAAAACAACAATACAGACGTTATGGACAAAATAACAAAGATGTTTCTTTTGCAATTTCACCATGCTCACAAGAATCCAGAAAACCGATCAAAAGAAAGAAATAAACAAACAGCCAGGGAACAAAGAATACTATCTCCAATAAGAAGAAATTACATAATTATCTATGATGCCAAAAAGTTCTAGTAATAATCTGTATCTTGAACTCATACGAGGTGAAATAAAGAAATTTCATAATCAACAATACACATTTAAAAGTAACTTCAAGATAATTTACTAAAATTCCACATGGAATATACCTCGAGTAACTGAAACATGGATTTCATGTCAACTAAACTCTGTATAGTCTCACGATAAACACTACCAAGGAAATTGAGTGGAAGAGATAATTGGAAGAGAAGCCCATTCACCATTACCTGCATATTGAGTTTAGATTAATTTAAGAAAAGAAGATATTTATTATGATAGCAAGAAGAAAATTACAAAGAGATTGTAGGATAAGGAGTTCTTTGTCTATGAAAGCAAACAAAATCATTAAAGATATTTATTATGATAGCAAGAAGAAAATTACAAAGAGATTGTAGGATAAGGAGTTCTTTGTCTATGAAAGCAAACATAATCATAAAGAAAAAATAAAAGCTTCAATGGAGCAAAGCTACTCAACCCTCAAACTAGAACTAAATTTAAGAAAACTTGTACCAAATCACCAACAGTCAGCGTTCCATCCATGATCCCATGAGAGCACAGCACCATTGCTGATGAAAGAGCAGTACTAAATATAATATTTTGACCAAAATTCAAGACGGCCAGACTTCGTTGGGTTTTCAGAGCAGCATCTTCATATCCTAGACAATAATATTACCACAGCAGGACAAACAACAACAATTATAAAAAAGAATTATGAGAAGCACAAATAAAACTAGAGAAGCAAGCAACATCAATTATAAAAAAGAATTAAGTAAATAAAGTCAAGAGCACCTAAATCTTGGAACTCAAAAGCTAACTTAAGCAAGATTAGATCCTCTCTCTTAAGTGAGTTTAAGGGCAACAATGGAAAATTAAAGGCTCGCTTAACCGAGGCTCATTACTAGCTTAACTGAGAGAGCCCATAAGACCTATGAAATAATGGTCATACAAATAGGCCAAGAACAATATATGAGCAATTAGAATATACAAAATAACTAGTGCCATTTTGCACACCCAACTTAACAAGGAAAATTGATCACTTACTCTTTAGGTACTTGTCATAATTATCAGCTTCATAAACTTCATTATTAAAATATTTGACAGTCTGTAAAATAAGAAAAAAAGAAGTGATAACAAAAACACTAAAAGGAAGATAACATTCAAAAACTGGCATTGATGACTGAAATGCTCACCTCATAATTAATAAGTGAATCAATAACCCTCGTACTAGCATCATTATCAGCCCTATTCATGGCTTTCCTGAACTTAGTCCTCCACTGAAAAAAAACAGAAAACATGAGAGTTGATGAATACTATAATCAATTAGTTTTACAACAAATCCACTGCATCATACTAAAATCCATTTACCCCACCAAGTCATTAGTTGGCCAATAAAAACAAATTATATGTTACTGAGAACTGAAACTTCATTTCACACAAAAGAAAACCGCAAAACTACTAAATGGGGTTTATTAATGTATTTGGAGGGATACTTTTTAAAGGGAAATTCATTTTAATAGAAAATTTGAAATGTTTTATGACAAAAAGAGTTGTTCGCATGGATAATATTAAAAGAAATTGAAATTTCAGAAATTTACTAATAATTTGGTACCTTAATATTAGAGAATTTTAAATTCTACCTAAACTTTTTCGTAAAAAGTGTAATTTTGAATTCTTTTGTAAACTTTTCTCTCAAAAGCATGTCTCTTTGTCTTCATATTTTCTCTTTGATTCAATCTAAGTCAGGACAATGTCAACTACGCTTTGGTAAAGGACATCATCGGTTTCTTGTAGTTACTTTTGGTCACTACCATCAAGGTTGTATTTTGCTGATATAGGTCAGCATTATTTCTCAATTGACACTAGTAACAGTTTTCTGTCAATATCAACAGGGTTTTTCAAATGATGTGATACACAACCTTCTAGGTTAATGTCAACAAATATTACTTTTAGTTGAAGTCGGACAAGGTTGTGTGCGACGAACATCAACAAGTGCATCAGTCAGATTATTTATCAACCAATGATGTTAATTAGGGTTTTCTCAACCAACACTCATAGGACTGTTTCTCTTTCTTGTGGATGTCGGATTGGATTTTCATCAATGCCAATGAAAATATCTTTCAGCTGATGTAAGTCAGCTTTTTAGTTGACATTAAAAGGAGTTACTTCCAAGTTGTCATTGTTGGAATTATTAATTCACCAATGTCGGTCAAGGTTATTTTTGGTTGATGTTTGTTAGGATTTTCTCAACCAATATTGGTGGAGCTATCTTTCAGTGGATGTAAGACATTTTATCGTTTCAAGTTTGTAGTAGCTATTTTCTTTCCATGTTAGCAGCATTTTCTGTAATCAACATCAATAATGTTATTTGGTAGGAATTTTTTTCAATCAAGGTCAAGAATGATACCTAAATAAGAAAAGTAAAATTCAATAAATTTGAATTGTTTTATCCAAACAAAACATTTAAAAAAATAAACAGATAGAAATATAAGCAATTCAAACTCGATGTATTTAAATTTTCTAAAAATTGTAAAATTTCCTGTTCTAACACAAGGTATGTGATTTTGGTAGTTATAAATGGGCTAAACTTTTATGGCAATGTGTAATCCAAGCTACTACCAAGTGCTATTTCTAGGAGCATAACGCTCACCACTTTACGTAGGTTTCATTGGCCCGGTATCATATATGATGCATGTCCGATACAGCAATATGCTTATTTAAAAGATAAGTGCATACTATATGTCATGCTTATTTAAAATTGTATAAAAATTCTTAAAATATAATAAATTGATGTTTTAAAAATTAGCAATAGTGTCATCGTGGCAGAAATCCGTGATACAGTTATAGCTTGTCGCCAAAAAATGGTAGTGGGGATGTGGGTTTTCCATGGCAGCCCACCACAGTTGCTTTGGGTGTCACAAAGTAGCATCACAGAAGAGATGTGGCAGAAGTTGCAAAGTGGCAGCACGGTGCCTTGCAAAACAAATGAGGAGAAGCCTCAGGTCTGCGTGACCCTACTCGAGCCAGCAAAGCCCTAATCTTTTCTCTTTTCTTTTTATTTTCCTACCAAGTTATAAACCTAGTCATCCCAAGTGTTATTTTCCCCTTGAAAAAAAAGGAGTTGGGCCATACAACCTGGAGCGTACCAAACATTACAGCAGAATGTTAACCTAGCCCACCCTACCCATGTTGAACCAACAGCCTCCTTCATTATAGTGCGTTCCCGCTGTCTCGGCAGACGTTAAATGCAAGTCCTTTTCTTTTCTTTCAAATTTCTTTCTATTCAGTGCAACCCACCCCTTTTTTGGGGATGTTTTGATTTGATTTTATTGTAATTTGAATTTCTAAACATGATATTATAATTAATTATGGTTGTCTTTTACTTTTGTATTGTAATTATATTTCTTCATTTGTATTAAATTATCTATTGTCTACATGTATATATTGTATTTTTTTTAACGTCCAATAACCCATTATGGCTTCAGATATATTTTCATAAAGGATTTTTGGGGTCTCCAATATTTTCCATTATCTTGGTAACGATAACACTAATAAATATATAACGACAATTATGCAGATCCAACTTAAAATCACATTTCTAAAACATTTCCAAAATAAAAAAGTATAAAGCATTGTCATCATAAAAGTATTTGTTCTTCATAGGTTTGGATACTTCATCAAACGCACCAATGAAGTATCCTAGAGTATTGGTGTCAGATATATAAAACAAATTACAGTATCAGTGTACAATGTTGCCACAATGTCATTAACATATATAACAAGACCAGAAAGAAATACAAGAGAGTACCAAACATTTTCAAGCTTAACTACATTGCATAATTAGATTGGTTCAAGGCATGATACCTGTGTGATAGACAGAGTGAAAATAACATAAGCAGCAACTGATAAGGAAGTAATAAGCGCAAAGGGAGCTCCAAATTTGTAGGCCAGTATACCTGCTACCATAGATATCTGGATGGATACATGTTAAATCTGTTGAAGTTGTTAAAAAACCACAAGCAAGAGTTGGAATGACAATAATTTTCGAAGATCATTAAAGAAACCTCAAAGAGAACAGGAAGCCACAATTAAAATACGGTTCCTGCTAATTATTTTCTATGTTTAAATGTGAGCAACATTGGGAGAATACATCATTGAGCTAAGCAACAAGGGAACAACCGAGGCGTACCTCTATCATGGTAGGTACCACATTGAACACCATAGAGTAGAGAATGAAATTTATTCCACGACTACCACGATCAATTATTCTACTTAATGCACCCGTTTCTCGGCTGGAAATAACAATAACTAGGTGAATGGGGTACTCAATTAAACAATAGACAAACAAACAAAAAACAAAAGACAAGCACAAATAGAGGTGAATATTTTGTGACTTCGATGATTTAGTTAATAATAATTCACATCTAAATCATTTAAATGTTGCTGTTCTAAAATGTGTGAATAAACACAATTCACGCAAGCAGACTGCAGAAGAAATTTACTTGCAGTCCTAAATAGTTACTGGTAGGTGTTCACAAGAGTAACAAAATAAGTCATGAATCATGAATTAGAAGAGAAGATGTTCAATGCTCGAGCCCAGTTGAATGGTTGACCTAGTTCTGCTTCAACCACAAAGCCTTCTTAAATTCCAAACAGTACTTTTTTGGTGTAGAAAGTCCAAATCAAATACAGACCACTATATAAAAATCAGATCTTAACTATTAATATTCAAGAATTTCTTTAGGAAAAGAGAGAGCTAAGAAGAAACTAATATAACCAGAAAACTAATTCAGAGATCAAGGAAAAATGCTCCTTTGGAAACTATTCACAAATAACTCGGCAAAGCCTATTAGAAAAGCAACCAAGAACTCCCAATGCATTCCATGGTGAAACTATAATTTCATTTTCAATCAAACCTTCAAAAAGTTCTATTTATTATGAAGTTCCGATCATAAGGTAAAAATTAAAAAAGTAAATAACAAAAAAAAGGGAAACAAATATACCACGATATCCTAAAGAGAAACATCCATGACATCCTAGAAATAAATATCACATGATATCCGAAAGATATATCACACATAGATCAAAAGTTTCGTAAACCAAGATGATATGAGCCCAGCAACATGGGAACATGAATATAAGCTAAGAGTTTAACCAAGGCTATTCTCTCTTCAGAAATGGTGAATATGTGTCAAGCAGCAGAGGAACACACAAGGTAAGGCATTAATCAGAACAAAGAGAGGATGTCAAACAGAACAAACAACCAGTGATGGAGTGCTTCAAACAGCAAAATTGCTAAAAAATAAGGCTAACTGACCCCTGGAACAGGAAGAGAGGATGTCAGCAACAAGGTTTGTGGCAGCAGCACACCAAACCATGGCCTGGAAGGTAGTATGTGGATGGCTTTGTCGTGGAGATGTTAAGGGACTAGTCTAATCTAGGCATTGCAAATACAGATGTAGTGCTCTCATCTGATCAAAGCACTTTCCAACTAACATCAATTCGCAGCTAAAGAGGAAGAACCTGAGCGCTGGAAATAGGGGCTGTGGGTGCAATTAATGCAATGTAGGACTGGCAGCAATGATGGTAGCTAGGGTACTAAGGACACAATGAATCCAGCTAGTGTTTAGACAAAAGTAAAACCCGCCAAGGATTAGGTCCTCTCATAAAAGAGTGTGATTACATATCATATATACAAACTCTATCTAACCAAAATTAAGGGAATATGAACTGCACAAATCAAATAAAATTTGAGCAATTATAAATCTGCCCAAGAATAGGAGTAAATCCTAGTAATTATATTACAACACATACCTTAGATGATACCGAAGGTCAAGGTCATGCAAATGTGAGAAGACCTACAACAGTCAGATACAAGCGTAATTTGAATATTTTTAACATCATATAAGAACATAAAGTGTGATTTTGACAAAGACAGGGGGCCGAAGATGTTTGAAAGAGGAGTTAACTCTAAAACCTTTGGATTTGCCTCCCCTAAAGTGAACAAGTGTAACGGGTGTATCACCCATGATTTAAATGAATGTACCTCACAAAAACTAACCTCTCTAAAACAAACAGGGATGAACTGTTATTTTCTTGCTTAATCATTTTAGAAAAACCAAATCCTAAATAAATAAAAATAGATATATTAAAACTACTTATATCCTTATTTGATGTATTGAAACCAAGAAGAAGCATGCATACCTTCCTTGATACTAATCGAATTGTTCGCAGTGCAACCTTAGAAAATATAGCGGTCCGCAATTCTGCCACAAGTAGTTGCACCCAAGAAATAAAAATTTAGCAGAACAAATAATGAAAACACATGCCTTTTCTCAAAGAAGATTAGATAAAAGCAATCAAATCATGCAGATATTCCTGATGGAGAGCCTCAGCTGCTGGGGCTGTTAATGAGTCACGCTGAGCTATTTGAGACTTGCATTGCTAACAGGCCAAAATACTAAACTCATTAATTCATGAACTGAGTCTCCACTAGACATTTTGGCCTGTCTAGTAAATGAGCATAGATTAACTTTAATATGCTTAGAATGAACTTGTAATATGTTGTTGACACAAATTTTTTAAGTTCATTAAGCTGTTACTTGTGAGTTTATAATTAGTTGAGCTCAAGCCAACAAAATAAGCTATTTTTTTATTGAACAAATTATCATTGAACCACCCTGAGCCCAGCCAAGATAAATTAATTTCATAGTCTACCCCGCTAGCAGTAACAGTAAAGAGTAATGAGTGTGTAAAAGATTATTAAAGTAAGACAAGTCATTGACTCACTTAGGTAGATTACTGGTTCAGCCATTGAGTCAT